GCCAGGCCATAGCGTTCGCCCCTGCTCCTGCTGTTTCCACGGCGCAGGTGGCGCAAGCGGATTCGCTGAATATGGAAATTGACTCGCAACAACAAATCGAGGAGGAACAGATGAATGTGTTGGAAGTGGTGAAAAAGTACGACGCCGACGAGCGTAACGCAGCGTTGCGGTGGCTGCTGCACGTACTTATTGCCATCTCTGTCGGCATTCTGGCGATGATAATCTCCTACGCGGTAGAATTCATGGAGGTCTACCGTGCGGGAAAACTGGACAGTCTCATTACGCAGCACCACACGATTGGCCGTTTCATTGGCTATTTCTTCTTTATTGGCGTCTCGGTGGGGCTTGTGGCAGCGGCGACAAGCGTCGTGGTGTTCTTTGAGCCAGCCGCGGCGGGCGGTGGCATTCCGGACGTCATTGCTTATCTGAACGGCGTGCAGATGCCTAAGGCGATGAACATTCGCACGTTTTTGGCGAAGAGCATCTCTTGTATGTGCGCAGTGGCTGGTGGGCTGCCGGTGGGGCTCGAGGCGCCGCTGATTCACCTTGGCGCCATCACAGGCGCTGGAGTGACCCAGGGCCGCAGTCGTACGCTTGGGTGCCAGACGAAACTCTTCCAGGCCTTCCGCAACAACAAAGACAGGCGAGACTTTATTACCGCCGGCGCGGCGTGCGGTGTGAGCGCTGCGTTCGGGGCCCCAATCGGTGGGCTGCTGTTCGTGATGGAGGAAGTGTCAAGCTTCTGGGACCATAGTGCGAGCGGGCAGATCTTCCTTGCCACAATGATCTGTTTCACAACCATCAGCATGATCCGCTCCCTGCTAGAGGATCAGCGGCTGCTCGGGTGGGTCTCGAACGCTGTCTCCGTGCTTTTTGAGGTGAATCTGACGATCCCTCTGAATCTTTTGTCGATTGTGCCGTCCTTCTTCCTTGGTATTCTCTGCGGAGCGCTCGCGGCTGGCTTCACCAAGGTGAATTTAATGCTCATTAAGTACCGCCGCCGTCATTTGCGCCCGTTTCTGCTGCGTCGATTCCTTGAGCCACTTGTCATCGTTGCGCTGTACGGTACAATGTCGTACATGCTCGCACTTGTGCCAGACTGCCGGCCGGTCTATGAGATGAATAACACAGCCGACATGTATGTGTGGGGAACGGAGAACAGCACGCAACTTTTCACCGCGACTTGCGCGGGGGAGGATTCGTACGCGCCGCTCGCAACACTGACGATGGGAACTGGGAAGGACATCATCCGCCACATGTTTTCGCGACAGACGATGGGCGAGTTTCCAGCTGGCTACATTCTGCTGTTCCTTATGCTGTACATGGTCTTTGCGTGTTGGTCGAGTGGGACGGCAGTGTCCGGCGGGTTAGTGGTGCCAAGCCTCGTCATTGGTGCCGCGTTTGGCCGCTTGTACGGGCAGCTCCTCTGGGCATTGCTGGTGCGTGGCGCCGGCCCTGAGCGCAGCTACTGGTTGTCACAGGCCTGGATGGACCCCGGCGTCTTTGCGCTGATTGGCGCCGGCGCGTTCTTTGCTGGCACCACACGCATGACAATGTCTATTTGTGTCATCATGGTGGAGCTGTCGTCGGAGCTGCACTACCTTCTGCCGGTCATGGTCGCCATTGTGATGTCCAAGACAGTGGCGGACCTTATAAGTGAGCCACTCTATTACCAGATGCTGCGACTCGACTCGGTGCCGTACCTCCAGGCACACCTGCTGCGCCCGGACTTTGAGCAGCTGACAGCGGCGGACGTGATGACGTCGAATGTCGTAACCCTCCGCTTGCGGGAAAAAACGTCTGTTGTGATGCAGGCACTAAGACAGACGACCCACCACGCATTCCCAGTGGTTGAGGCGGTGCAGGAGACAAAGTCCTTTGGTGATGATGTTATTGCCCGTGAACAGAAACATGAGCATGCGTTTACCCATGAGGGGGAGGAATGGGTTGAGAAGGAGCATGTGCGTTACAAATTTGTTGGGCTCGTCACACGCGAGGATGTGCAAATTTATCTCTCACTACCTACGCTGCAAAGCGCCCATCCACCAAACGGCTCCTCCAGTCTCCAGAGTGACAGTACAACCATCGGCAGTCTTGCTCCTGGCGTCCTGAGCGTCAACAAAATGTCCTGGACGGAGTGGCTGACACACAAGACGTCACTGTTCTTTGTAATTGGTGGCAGCAAGTGGTCAGAGATGTGGGCACGCAGCAACCGCACTGAGGTCCGTTTTGAGGATGGCAGCGACGCGATGAGCGGCACTAGCATCAGTCCGTTCTTCGTGGACGAGCGCCGTCTGCCGCCCGTACTTGACTTCTCTCTAATCGTCAATCGCAGTCCATGGGTGATTCCGCCGTTTTTTAATCTGCAGATGGCATACCACACATTTCGCATGATGGGCCTGCGACATATGGTTGTCGTGGACGGTGACGCCGTGGCGGGCATCATTACACGCAAAGACCTCCTCGTGGATGCGCTGCGGCGACGCGTGCGTGAACTCCAGAGTGGCAACACCACCACCACCAACAACAACAAGAGCGACGACGGCAAAAACAACAACAATAACAACAACAACAACAACAACAAAAGTGACAATAACAACAATGCGGGCGAGGTAGTGAGCTCGCTACCGGTGGTACAGTCATCTTCGTTCCTGTCCCCCAGTTTTGATGGCAACGGGCACACACCGGAGAGGTCGCAGCCGACTATGTTGTGGGAGCCACCCGCTGTGGCGGACCTGCTGCTTTCTGTTCAGCCACAGTAAGTGTGTTGTTATGCATCGGTAGAGGTGTGTGTGTGTGTGTGTACAGGCTGAAGGGCGAGTTTGGGTGAGGAACGGGGAAAGCGAAGTGGAGGATTGGGTGTGAGGGCAATTGAGGAAGTTGTACTGCTCTGCTAGGGTGTTGTGTATAGCTTGTTCAATTTTCACTTTGCCTTGACGCAGATGCCCTCTCAACTGCTCTTTTAGCCTTTCTTGCCTTTTTTCATCAGTGTTTCTCTCTTTCTTGCTCTTGTTATCGCACTAGTTGTTACTATCTCTCCTTTACTCCTGCGCATACGTGATTGCCTACCCTTTACGCCTTGTGTCTCTCCGAGCCGCTACAATCCTATTGTCTGTTTTCTGGCTGTTCCATTCGGATGTGGGTGTGCTTTCTCTTGCGAGTCATTTGTCTTCTCTCTGTTTCTTTTCGTTCTTGTTGCACAGTATTCATAACACATCGGTGTGCACACGCACAGGAGGGAGCAATATGAGNGTCCCCGCCAGTGACGAGAGGGATGCCAAGCTAAGGGCTCTCATCCATACGATGTATGAACGCGTCCCAAAAGAGAAGCGACTGACAGTGGAAGTGGTGCAGCAGCTGCTCCGCGCAAAGTATGCAGATGCCTTCCCCACTGAGTATCTCGCTCAGCGCACGGAGTTCCTTACAAACCTCATCAACTCGTTCTACACTGCCAGTGCCAGTGCCGTCAACGTTGCAGCTGGCAAAAATAACACGAACAAAAATGGTAACGATGGTGATGATGATGATGATGATGGTGAGGAGGAGGAGGAAGATGATGATGATGAAGAAGATGATGATGAGGGTGAGGAGGAGGATGGGGCCGACGAGGGAACTAGCGATGAGGATGAGGAGGATGAGGAAGAGGATGACTCCAGCAGCAACAGCGCAGAGGGGCCTGACGGTGAGCCAGCAGAGAAGCGGCAGCGCATAGAGGGTGACGACGAGGTTGCGCATCGCTGCAGACAAATGGTGGACTGCCTGCGCCGACTGAGTTACCGCGTGCGGCAGCAGGAAGAGGCAGAGTCGCCCGTCACGTACCTGCAGCAGTGCTTGGTGCCACTCTTCCACGAGAAGGGCCTCGACCCCGAGCGGTACGAAAAGGCCGACGTGAGACGCTACCTCCTCCAGAAGGAGCTGCAGCAGCTGCAGTCGGACGGCGCAGACGTGAGTCTTGATCGTGCAGCGCGTGCCGGCCGCGGCGTCAACCACCTTTCGGCGACTAAAGACAGCACCATCAACGTTAAAACGTCCAAGTTTCTTGATGACGAGTAAACGAATCGCATCGGTCCCCTATTTTCCCCTGTTTTTACCCCTTTCAGTGCTTTGAAAAGTTGGTGATGAAAAGGTACGAAGAGTAATCATAAACTGTGGAAAAAAGGGGTGATGGGGCTGATGACACGTATCCCATAGACCGATTGTCAAGATGTGTTNTGCTGTTGTTCTGTCTTCCCTCAAATTAAACCACATTGTTATTGTTATTACTTGTTCTCACGCCGCTGTCATATGTAGCCCCTTTTTTTTTCTTCCTTATTTCTTTTGGCTGTGTTGTTTTGTTACATCATCTTCAATGGCCTCACCATAGAGGGCAGAAGGAGGGGGCGGAAAGGGGGAATGCAAGTCGAGGCTCGCCACGCCGTCAAGTGCGAGGCGGAGCCAGACACTGTGAGCCTTTCGCTGCCGCCTGTGACGGAGCCCGCGGTAGAGGTGGTGGGCTGCATGCCGATGCTTAAGACCACCACCACCAGCAGCAGCAGCAATGACAGTGTTAATAATGACGAATTTGGTGCATCGAATACGCCGCGCGCGACAGGAGAGGATGCCCGAAAGCGGCCCCCGACCCTTGTTGCATACCACCAGCAGCGATACGATCGATTTGTGCAGGCGTACTTTGGATACGGTGCGGAGCAGCGGGCAAAGTGCGTCCGCCAGGCCTCTCAGCTGTGTATGATCGGCCTGGGGCTGCAGAAAAAGTGCCAAGGCCGAAATACTGACGCAGTTCATGCCATGCGACTTTTTCTCAGGCACTCTGTTCTTGCGGTAGAGGGGGATGCCGTATTTGTGAAGCTCGTGCAGCGGGCTAGGCCGCTGTGGGGCGAGGAGGAGGACCATCACTTCGACGACCCGCGGCAGTGGCCCAACGCTCGCTGCATTGCCCTCCACTACGGCCTGCCGTCCGCCCCCACCGGAGTAGAGAAGCAGCAGCAGCAATTCCCGCAGACGACACTGATGGCGGTGGTGGCGACCACCCCCATAGAGGAGGGTGAGGCGGTGCGACTCTGCCTCCGCTCTTACCACCGTTGCCTGGACGAGGCGGCGTGGTACGAGCAACTCGTCGGGGCGCACGGTGTCAATGAAGGTGAAGTGGCGGGTACTGTGACGCGTGGGCGGAAGCGTTTTGACATGTGGCCGGAGGGGTTGGCATTCTACCACGGTGTGGGCTCGCGGCACGCCGGTATGGAGCCTGTAGTGGGTTTCCCCTTCACGCTTCTCGATCTTGCGGAAGCGACAATGATCGGTGAGGGTGAGAAGGGACTCTTTGCCGCCCATCCGGTGCCATACGCCACGTGCTTTCTGTACTCTGGCCCTGTTGTTGCGACAAAGGTCGTGGAGGCGAGGCGGGAGTGCATTGCGGTGGGTGGCACTTCTCTTGTTGCTGATATTACTTGTACAACTAGTGGGACGAATACTACGACGACTAACACTACTAGTGCTTCTGCTCCTTCTGCTGGTAGTGTATCTACTGACGAGATTCTGACGAGTGACATCTCTATCGATGATGCGACGTATGCGCTGGGCTTGGGGCGGCATGGGCTTTGTTTTGGGCAGGGGCTTATGCGATATGCCAACCATCGCTACAATTTGAGCAACTTTGGGAACGTTGAGCTGTGCTCCGTTATGCTGTCAGTAACGAGCGAGTTCTCTTCACTGGCAGCGGAGCTTGAGCGGCGCCGAAACGGTGCGACACGGGCGAGGAAGCGAACCAAAAGGCGAGGTGCGCCGAGGCGGCGGCCTGACAAGTCGTGCCCGCTGGATGCTAGGACAGGGGATAATGACGCGGTGGTCTTTGTGAAGAAGCGGCGGTACCGCCCCCTTGTTGGTCGCCGCATCTTTCTGGAGGAGCACAGCCACTTCGTCACAATCCCATTCTTTATCGCGACGACCGACATCGAGGTGGGGCAGCAGCTGCTGGCGTGGACCTATGGCGAGGAATACGACGCTCGGCTGGAGCGGCAGGTTGTGTGCGACGGTCACCTCGTGCCTTACGCCAATGCAGCCGTGTTGGATGCGCGGAGGCCCACCGGCCGCTGGCAGCGCTACAAGGGTGACTACCGGCATGGCATGGGCGCCGGTGACATTGTGTGGTGCCCCCAACCCGGGCTGGGCGTCCACCAGGACCCGACTGAAGAGTTGTTCGTCATTATGGAGATGCCGCCGCGCCGCGCCGACTATGTGTTGCTGCGCAGCATCGCCCGTAGCCACGCCTACCACCAGGCGCTGCACCGCTGTGGTGGTTCAACAGACGACGAGATGCTCCTCTTTGAGGTGTGCGAGGCCAAGGCACTGGAGCGGTGCGTGATTGCCCACACCGACTCAGTGGCGCTGCTGCTCGGCGACATGGACTACTGGACAGTGCGTGAGCCTAAGCGGACTACGACGCCGCCTCCGCTCGCGGGGAAAGACTGCAGCTGTGGTGGGGGGCCCTCATGCGTGATTCATCATATCGTTGTGAACGCCACGGCACTCCGGGTAGCGGCACGACTCGTTCTCGAGAGTGAGTGTGGCGCTGCCGTGGCAACGACACTCCTCAGTGGGCGTGTCTGGCCGTTCCTCTGTGAGTGTGATGGTGTCACGGGTCGCTCCGGCAGGAAAGTGGCTGTGAGACGTGGCAAGAAGAGGGAGACTGCGAGGGAAGTGACATCACCTCTCTCGTAACGTGGGGGAGAAGTGTGTGTGTAAGAGTGTGTCTGCCTCTTCTGAGAGAGAGAGAGAGGGAGAGAGCGCCAAACACAGGAGACACATTGTAAACGAACACCACCACCATCGTTACCTTTCTGTTTGCATACAGACACAACTATCATTTTTTTTTTTTTTACTAGATGTATCCGGTTTCCACCGAGTATTTCACTTCTACCTTGTGCTTTTCTGTATATGTAAAAAAGGGTGGAGGCGCGTGAGAGGTTCTGCTGCTTTGGCAGCGTTAGACATCAAAGCCAGAAGAACAGACAAAAAAGGAACATGTCTGGGGGCAAACACTCTCTTTTGCAGTCGTACACCACCGCCCTCGGCACCAAAGCATACATACTCAGGGGCGTGCCTGGCGGGGAAGGTAGTGAAGAGGGTGAATCCATTGGGGTGCCGTGCCGCTCTTCGCACTCGCTACGGAAGCGCCGTACCGTCGCGATGCGTTGGAGGCCGTGGCGTGGGGCGGGTCTTTCACCGCCAGCCGCGAGACTGAACAGATATCCGGCAGATGTGACAAAACGTGGCGATGATCGTTGCGTCAAGTCACAAGACAACGCCACCAGCAACATAAGCAGCAGCAGCTGTGACGCCGGGCTGACCGCCAACTGGGCCCGTTTGGTGCCTACGACAGTTGTGGTGCCGCCGATGGCGCCCCCCGACGTACAGCAGTCGTCACAAGCGACGACTGTCGTGCCCCCTTCTGTCCATTCTGGGGGGCGTATCGGCACTGGTGACACAGGCGTATACACCGTAATGCCGACGCCTCCGCCGCAAGAGCCTCACTTTGCATCCCTTCACCTGGTACCAGAGCTGCCAACCACTGCTGGCACGGTTCTATTGCCTACGCCCCCACAGTGCGACCCTCGAGTTGGCGTGAGGTATTCATTTCGTTGCTCGGTGGCGGATCACGAGAGAATGGTGGAAAGCGGTTTCGTCTTCTGCCCGCAGTGTGGGTCCAAGGTACGTTATGATGCTCCAGTGGAATTTTTGCCGGCAGACTGTCCTGCGACTCACGAAAGAGAGGGCAACAAGGAACAGGATGCGGATGGCGGTTATTGTGTGTTGTGCGGTCGCTCAATCATTTATCGTGCTGCGCTGCAGAAGAGGGAAGGAAATACTCTCGTGCCTCCTGTCTTGTTGCCTCAGCTTCCCACTGGAGTGCCAGAAGTTGCAGCTCCACTACCGCCGTCCGCGACGCTTGGTGTGTTTCAGGCACAGAAGGCACCCACTACTGCCGCCTCTGCAGTTGCCGTTGCCACACCTGCCACAAGCGCAGTAACACCTGGCGAGGCTGGGGACACGAAAAGTCAAATATTCGCTCTAGGGGGCTCTGCAGTAGCTCCACCTCTGGCTCTGGGAACGACGGAGGTGAAAATTGTGCCTGCCGCATCACTTCCTGTCACAGCGACGACGAATACCAACGAGAGCAGTGGGCGTGGTGGTGCTGCAATCGAACCTTCTACCGAAGCAGGGTGGCTACCATATCCCTCGGTGATGTTGGCGACATCTGTGCCAGCAGCCCAAGGAGTGGATAATGCTGGAGGCTCTCCTTTTTCTCCTGTTGAGGGAGCAGAACTTGAAAAACCGCCATGTGCGTCGGTGCCCGTTGCAGCCAGTGCGGCTGCACCTCGGGATGCGGCAAATACGCAGTCTGCGGCGCAGCAGGAGGTGCTGCTTTACACGGCCGGCGTCCCCGGCGTGTCGTGTGGTCTTCCACATTGTACCTTGTGCCTACATTCAGTGGGCCCGCCGCTGCTGCCCGTCGCGTCGACTCAGCACCAGGTGCCAGTGGGCGAGTCGATAGGGCGTGGCGAAGCGAGCGTTGTCGTTGTACATAATCACTATTATCACAAGATGTGAACAAGAGGCTAGATAGATACTCTGAGTGAGTGATTGTGTAGAAGTGCTGCTCCATTTCTACCCTGGAGCACCATAACTTATACTCCCGTTGCCCTGGGGAACTTTTTCCTTTTCTTTTCACACACACACACACACACACAAACTTTCTCTTGCCCTCTCGGTTACTATTTGTATTGACAGTCTGCTGCGAAGAGGAATTGTCAGGGCTTGATTCTCCTTGCGCCGGCAATCATGAGCGGTCCATCTGATCTGCAACATGCTGTTGCATGTACCCAAGCTGCGGCGCGGCGTCGGCGACGGCGCCTCCTCTCCGCTGCGGACAATGGTGCCATTGTAGAGTATAGTTCAGCCACATTTGCTCCTGCACCGCCTTGCCCTCGCATTCCAGTGCCGCCTCGCCACCTGCTGACGCGGCCGCGGCTGCTCGCATATTACAGGTTGATCGCCGGTTCTGAGCCGCCGTTGCTTCGGCGCGACGCCACCGTGGAGGGCTACAACTACAACTGGTTCGTTCCAGCTGGAATCGAGGAAAAGGGTAGAGCGTCAAAAAAGGGGCGACGACGCTTGCAGGAGGCCCTGATTGCCGCCAGGATGCCACTGAGTGAAGTCGGCGAAGGCACGAGCGGTGTGTTCGACTCGGGCCGCCTGTGCTCCCCCATCCGCCGGCACCTGCGGCGTCTGCCAGAAGAGAGGACTGCATTTGATGACAGCGGTACCGCTACGTCGCAATGCGATGGGGGGAGTGAAGACGTTGACAACACCGTCGTCCTCGTGCGGCCAGTCGCGTGGGAACTCCCGTCAGAGGAGCAGATTGCGTGGGAGGAAGCATTTCGAGTGGCGCCCAAAGGCCGCGAGTGGGATCGGCAGCGTGCGGTGCGCCACAGCGTGGGCTCGACGGCGCAGGATGCCCTCATCAGCTGCTGCATTGATCCAAGGTATCGACGCCCGGGTGACTTTGTGCGGCGCAACTGTCGGGGAGAACTCGTCGATGCACGCGGACGCCCAATGCGAAAAGCAACTGAGACACACTGAGAGGCACGCGGACGTGGTCCTACGGTGGGTTGGTGTATCTGCGTGTGTGAGGGGGGAGAGATGTCTTGTTGCTGTTCTTGTTGTTATTGCTCCTGTATATATACATACATACATGCATATATATATATATATATATATACATGGGAAGAGAGAGAGATAGTGAGTGAGTGAGTGAGTGAGTGGTGAGAGTGAAGAATGGGGTGAGGAGTTTGTATTTTTTTCTTTTTTTGACAAATCGTTTGTTATGTATCAGATTCTCGTTTTTCTTGGATGTGTATTATGCCGAGACCGTTGTTAGCTCCTTTTTTTTTTAACACCACGATTTCCTCAACGACACGCGGAAATACCAAATGCATCACTAGCTCTATAGGAAAGACATTAAACAGTCCTTCACTGGTCCTCGAGCATTTTTTATTATTATCAATGAGCATCCAAGAAAAGCCAACGGTATTCTTTGTTCTTGGCGGCCCCGGATCCGGAAAAGGCACGGCCTGCGCTGCCCTCGTGAAGGAGTTTGGCTACACGCACTTCAGCGCCGGTGACCTCCTCCGCGAGGCGAGCAAAAGCGGGACGAGCGAGGTGGCGAAGAAGATTGCGGTCATACTCAAGGCAGGCAGCATCGTGCCGTCTGAAATCACAGTGGAGCTGCTGGCGCATGCCATTGCAGAAAATCTGAACCCGCAGGGTTACATCATCGACGGGTTCCCGCGCAAGATGGACCAGGCGCTCATGTTCGAGGAGGGTATCGCCCCCGCCAAAGGCATCTTCTACTTTGACTGCACAGAGGCGACGATGGAGGCACGCGTGATGCACCGCGCAACGGAGGGAGCGGGACGGGAAGACGACAACCCTGACGTTCTCCGGCGCCGCTTCCGCACTAACGTTGAACAGTGCATGCCAGTAGTGGAGCGCTACAGGAGCGAGGGCCGTCTCCACACAATTGACGCCAATCGTACTCGTGAGGAAGTCTGCGCTGACGTAAAGCGAGTGATGATTGAGCTCGGGGAAGTGCCCCTATGTGCGTGATAGCGGCGCATCATATGGCCCATCCCCTACCTACCACCAAACTGTTTTGTAGTTGGTGCTGATGCTACGACATACTTCTTTTTTTTTTGACCGTTATGTTTGTTTCATTGGCTTCCGGTGCTTGGTGCTCATACGTTTTTTCCCGCATTTCCTTCTTTCCTCCTTTACTTACGTGCCTGTTTATTGGTTTCTGTAAGTGGTTTGTCCTCGCTTATTCATCATGGCCCGCCGCCCCTCGCGCTGCTACCGCTTCTGCAAGAACAAGCCGTACCCGAAGTCGCGCTTCTGCCGTGGTGTGCCTGACCCGAAGATCCGCAACTTCGACATCGGCAAGCGCNTTCTGCAAGAACAAGCCGTACCCGAAGTCGCGCTTCTGCCGTGGTGTGCCTGACCCGAAGATCCGCAACTTCGACATCGGCAAGCGCCGTGCCCCAGTGGATGAGTTCCCTGTGTGCATCCACGTCGTTTCCCGGGAGCTCGAGCAGATCTCGTCGGAGGCTCTGGAGGCCGCCCGTATTCAGGCCAACAAGTATATGGTGAAACGTGCCAACAAGGAGGTGTTCCACATGCGCATCCGCGCCCATCCGTTCCACGTGCTGCGCATCAACAAGATGCTTTCCTGTGCCGGCGCTGATCGTCTGCAGACGGGCATGCGTCAGTCGTACGGCAAGCCCAACGGCACCTGCGCTCGTGTCCGCATCGGCCAGATCCTGCTTTCGATGCGCACCAAGGATGCGTTCATCCCGCAGGCGCTGGAGTCCCTNACGGCACCTGCGCTCGTGTCCGCATCGGCCAGATCCTGCTTTCGATGCGCACCAAGGATGCGTTCATCCCGCAGGCGCTGGAGTCCCTCCGCCGCGCCAAGATGAAGTTCCCTGGCCGCCAGATCATCGTCACGTCGAAGTACTGGGGCTTCACTGACATCCTCCGCTCCGAGTACGAGGAGCTGCGCGATGCCGGCAAGCTGCAGCAGCGCGGCATCCACGTCAAGATGATCGTACCCAAGGGTAAGATCACTCCCTACAATATTCAGGCTTAGGCAGGCAACTACGATGATATTTTTCATTGTTTTTTTTTGCTTTTTTCGTTTCTTTCATAATGCTTCAGATGCGTACTGTGTTGTTTCTTTTTTGGCTTAGGCCCGTTAACTCTGTGTGTAGCAGTGAAATGCCTCGTTCTCTTCCCACCCCATGTATCTCTTTTGCGTATGCGTGTGGGGGCGTTGTGGCTTTCTGATTCTGAAGAGTTTTAGGGGGGCAGGGGAGCTGTTCGTTTTTTAGCCCACAGGAGTGCGGTGGGGGTCTTCGTGGCCGAAGAGTATCAGTATTCATGTACAACGATGCGGTGACAACGTCGGTGTACGGGTATGTTGTGCCTGTGCCGTTAACGAATGGCGGCTGCTCAACGATGCTATCTGTCATTAGCGCCCTGGAGGAACTAGACCGAATAGGCGCGCGTGTCTTTAGCAATATTGAAACGGCAGTGCATAGATCTCGCGAGACGCTGGAAGGACTTCAAGGACGTATTGAGGTTTGTGCTGCTCGTGTTGAGCAACTGCAGGGTCGACGTGAGGCTCTTGTGGTAAAGAGCAAGGCCCGCTTTCCGTGCCGACGGCATGAAATATTGCCGCTTGTGCAGGCGCCATTGGAAAAACGTGCGGAACTTGTGCGGCGTAGACAGCACGTTGTGCCTGCGCTGCTCTCCGTTGACGAGTCAAACAGTGAGTCGGATGACTCGGAGGAAGATGTGTATGGTGTGGGCCTCGAAAATATCAACAGTAAGAGGAGGAGCAAGAGCGAAGAGGAACGGCGTGATGCCCTGGAACGCATAAACTTTTATCAGAGGCCTGTCAGACGCCTTGAGGGGACGGCGGAGGACCAGCGACCAGTGAAGCCGCTGCACCCGCTGCAGCACTCGGATTTGGGCAATTTGATGCCCTTGGTGGCAACGTGGCGTTACCACAGTGGCGTGGATCGGGGCCTCGGTCGGCTTCCGCAGCATCTAACAAGCGTTAGCTCGCTGCTTCTCTTCAACACCCGTGAGAACCTGTACAAGGAGTACCACGAGCTGGACGTCTTGACGCAGCAGCGCCAGGAGCGCATTGTGGCTACTAAGCGGCGGCTTGGTGGAGCAGCGGATGTGCACCGCGACTACATGACGCGGTTCTCTTCGGATGAGTACGCTTTTGTCCCACTCATGGAGGAGGTAGCGAACCTCATGGAGGACCTCCCTGAAGACCTACCCCTGGAGGGCATTGCCGAGGTTAGCTGGCACGCATACACACTGGAGGACGCGGACAACATCGCCCCAAGTTGGCAGCGGCGGCTGGGTGAGGAAAGCGAGGTGACAACTGAGAACGGCATGATCCCTCCGCGTGAGGGGAGAAAATCAAGGCAGACACTAGCCATCACCTCAGCCTCAACAACAGTATCACCCCCTGCCATCATCGGCCCGTCTGCTGCAGCTGCACCACCCCCACCACCGCCCCCACCGCCACTGCTTGGATTGGCGCCCGCCGGCAAAACCCCGCCACCGCCGCCTGGTTTTAAGGGTGCAAATGCTCCACCGCCACCGCCACCGCCACCGCCGCCACCACCACTGACGGCGGGTAAGATGAAGGTTCCACCACTGCCACAGAATGTCCCTCCACCACCACCACCACTACCACCAGGGGCAACTGTGGCGAGAGCCCTTCCTGTGCTCGGCAATGCTCCTCCCGCTCCGCCACCACCACCACCGCCCCCGCCCCCCAAGGTGGTTGCGGCGAAAGCGGTGCCCAAAGCCGCACCAAAGAGCAACTTGGATGCACTGTCCTCCCTTCTCGCAAACCGCCGCAGGGGGATTCTAGGACTGCACTCAGACGATGATGACGAGGACGCACTTCGCACCGGCCCTACGAAAAGTCTGCGGTCTGGCAAAGAGACAACACAATCAGCAGGAGGAGCGCCGGCGCTACCTGCTTCTAAATCGACACCACCGCCACCACCACCACCGGTTCCGGGTAAATTGCCTCCGCGGCGTGTGGATGATGATGATGATTGGTAATGTGTGGCTCTTGTTGTGTTTGTGTATATGCGTCTGTCTGTGTGGGTATGTGCATGTGCATGCCTAAGAGAGAAGAATGGGATTCGGTTCTCTGTTGAGCCACTATCGGAAGTGAGCCAGCAAGATCACTTTTGAGGCGGACGGGGTTTTGCTTTCCGTTCTCCACTATTACTGCCTACCTATGCGTCTTGTATCAAAGTTTTCATTTCCCTTGGTTAGGCATTGGGTATGTCACTGTTTCAGTCGTGTGCTGGTCATTCCCTGTTGTTGTTTCTGTGTGTGGGGCCTGTTTGTAGCAGCAGCTAGTTATCCTTCTTCCCTCCTCTGTAGTGGAGTGAGAGAAGGAAGATACCGTTGCTGAGCGGCATGTCGTCTTCGCACAGCGGTGAGCCGAAGTCAAGCTCTGGAGGGACAGCGCCTGCGTTCTCAGTGAGCAGCTATGTTCCTGCAGTACTTGCAAATCCGCTGACTGTGCGGGCAACTGTGCTACGGAAGCCAGAGCTCTTTCCTGTGGCCGCGGCAGAGCTTGTGGAGGAGAATGACATTCTCTTTGACGTCCTTGCCAACCCGCTTCATTACCCTTCCACTGTGATTATGGACGATGATGACGGCAATGATGTGAAATCTCCCTCATGTCGTCGAGGCTGGACCGACCCACTAGCGGGCCACGGCGTTGGGTCCATTCTATCCCTGCCCTCTACGATCGGAAAACACTTTGTAGGGGAACCTTTCCGCGCCTTTTTGAGTTTCCACAACGCTGCGACGTACGCGCTCGGCTCCGTGCTATTTCGTATCGATTGCTTGCACCCGACACAGCAGCGTACTTCGCTTGTTAGTTACGACTGCCAGCGTCTGGAGGGGAAAGGGAACGTGTCTTTCAAGGTGGAGCTCACACTCACCGATTCAGGCCAACACACCCTCAGTGTGGCGGTGACGTTCATTGATATTGTCCAAGAAGCCAAGCGGCTGACATGGTCGTCAAGCTTTCAGGTGGAGCGTGCTGTTACGGAAGTGCATAGGACGCTTTGCGCCATTCCTCTGTTGACTCGTTACCCCAGGAATACGGCCAATCCTCTGCGCACCGCCGGCCCCACTCTTGAAGAGGTAGCGTCAAATATTGCACTTCCAACTAGAAAGTACGCCCTGTCGATGTGCCTGCAGAACACGTCCTCCTTGCCATTGGCCATTGTGGACGTGGCACTGCACGCTGGGGACGCTTTTGATGTTTTGCCACCACCACGCCGCTTTGCCGCGAAACATATCCGTCCGATGCCACTGTGGTGGCCAGTTTCCTCGGGGGAGCCAAAAGAAGCGGGGGATTCTTTTCGCATTCGCTACACTGGCGGTGGAACGGACGACGTAGAGGATCTCCACCTCCACCCAGGGGACAGACGGAGTTACGTGTTTGAGATTTTCTTGAAACCAGACAAACTTCGTTCCCTCGCGCTGTGCCATAACGCGGCTGGTGCTACTGTGGCAGTGGCACCGCCGAATATCGTGGATCTTGGCCATGTGGAGTGGAAGTGGCGACGCGCTAACGGCGACGGTGGAACGGAGCGTAGCAGACCTGTGCGACTTAGTCGTATTGTCAAACAGCCAATGTTGGAGCTGTTTGTGGTGAATGTGACGCCGGAAACGCCAAGGGCGGGCATGCCAATGACACTTGAATGCGTCGCCGTTAATTATGACTCGGAGAACCACGTCGATTTGGCGCTGCGGGTGCGGCCTGACCATCTGGTGCCGGCACTTGTGTACGCAGGCCCTCTCGTGTGCTTGCTGGGCCTCCTTGAGCCTTGCGGCACCATGAAATTCTGCGTGTCGCTGGTGCCGTGGAAGTCTGGATGGGTTGCGGTGCGTGGCGGCCTGGAGCTGTGCGATGCACGGGAACCATCGCATCTGCTCTGGCCGTTGCAACCAGTGACAACGCAGCCCCCACCGCTTTCATCGTCCGTGCCGTTGGGTCCGCCATCGTTGATTTCCTCGGTGGTAGCGACGGAACTACCAGAGCAGCTATATCCACCTGTTCTTTGTGAGGTTCTTGTCTGCTAGGTCCCACCTCCTTTTTACTGGAGTGGGCCTGCTCTGTGGCGGATGATTTTTGTGTGTCTCTTTCAGGCCCATCTCCTGTCGAATGGTCTCAATCCTGTCTTTTTTTTTTACGGCGCAGATTGCGTTTGTGTGTGTGTGTCTGTGCAGAACTTTGATGTCCACTGATGTGGTATAATTCGGTGTATTTTATTCTCTTTCTGTCTCTTTTGTACCCCCATCCTGAAGGGGAAAGAGAAGAGGGCAAGAATGAGGCCTGTCCGTCACGTCACGCCGTATGTGGTGCGAGCCGGCGTGGCGTGTCTGCGGTGCCGATCTGCTTGGCAACCTCTTGTTGCAGCTCGCGTGCGACATGCGTCGACACAGTTCGTGGGACAAGATGGCGCGGCTGCCGCTGGCGCGAATAAGGGAACAAAGAAGCCAGTGGCATCTTCAGTGAAGAAGATGCCGCCCCCACCAAAACGGGTAGCAGCATCATCGCCGTTGGCTTCGGAGCCTCTGCCGCCAACGCCACTGGCGGCAGTGAATCAGCCGCTGTTTGATGTGGCCGAAATGATCACCGCGTTAGCGGAGGTGTTTCTCGCCTATCATAAACACCTCCGAGGTGAGGCAACAGCAGCTCCAGTGGACATGAATGAGAGCGGCGGCAGTAACGTAAGCGTGCCGTTCTATCCCCACGTGCCGCTACGCTATATGGAGGAGCACTTTCAGCCGCTGCTGCGACGCCTTCTCCCCGCCGGTGGCGGAAGCGGCGCCACTGCTGTCATGCGCCTTCTAGGCGAGAACGAGTCTGCAGAGAAAAACAGGCGGCAACTCTCGAGTCGCATTCAAGTCTGCGGCGTCTTTTCGTTGGCTCCCTCGCCACCTGGAATACTGCCTCGCAAAGAGGGCAGTGATGGCACTGGTGAGATGATTGCTCTTCGTGTGAGGCCAGGTGTACGAGAGTTGGCCCTCAGTATAGCCACTTTTCTATTCTCCTTGGAGCCTTCACCTGCAGGCATTCGAAAGACTGTGCCGCTGGCTGTCATTCGCCGCATGTCGTTGAGCCCGGCCGCTGCGGCTTTTATTCGAAATGAGCTTGCCAACGATATTAAACGGCTACTCTTGCTGTACGGACACGATGTGTTTGTACTGACAAGGAATGGCTCCGCGGTGCGGCTCCACGAGTCTTGTGTAAGGAAGGTAGAAAGAGGCCCACCTCCAGCTTTACCTATTGCAACTACGCCACTGCCAGCGCAACAGCAACAGGAAAAGATGGAAAGACCAGAGACTTTGAGTGGCGAGACAAGGGAAAAGTCGGGACGCATGGCAGTCGTTGAGACGACAACGACGCTGCCACCGCCTGAGCACGCTTCTGTCTCTTTCGTTGCCGGTGAGGCTGACACGGTTCTGCATATGGGGAGGCGTTTCATCGCTCCAGCTGCAATGGAGCGGTACCGCCTCTCGCAGCGCCTACAGCCTATTCTGGAATTTGTTCCAGAGGCGGCACCTTCTCTCGGCGCAGGAAAGGTAGGGCGCACTTCTGTTTCTCATACAGATAAAAATGACAGCACTGATGCTGATGACGGATTTGTTGATTTCGTTGCGGTGCGTGAGCGTGCGGTGGTGAAGTACCCGCACCTCGCTCCCCTTTTGGCGTTGGACCACGGCGATGCGCCCCAGTTCCGCGACGGTCTCCTCCTTTCGGCAATAGGCGCACTGGGTGTGGAGTGGCGCTGGGGGCGCGCGCCGCCGCCACGGGAGCCGCGTCCAAAGCACCACACGCAGCAACGCATCGTAGCGCACAGCGGCTTATCGTCAGAAATGGGTCTGTTGTTCCTTCGCCGGCGCTCCAGCGGCGTGGCGGCTCCTCCCGCGGTGGAAAAGCAGTATCTGCGCCTCCTGCTCGTCGATTTACAGGTAGAGCACGATGAGGTTGTTGCGTCACACTCTTCAGAGGACTGGTGGAAACGGTCATGCAATGTCTACTCTGCAGATGATGCTTCGGATGGCACATCAGTCGAGGAAAATGAGGATGCGATTGGGCGTTTGTTCTCCATTGTTCATGCCGCTGTCTATGATGAGCTGGCGGGCCCAGCAGCAGCGGTGGGGGCGGCGGAAGCAGAGGTCGGATCACATCTTTTGGGCGGCATGGCTCCCTCCAGAAGCAGCATGTACCCCACTGGTGCGTGTGCTGACCGTGTGTTTGTGCAGCACTTGCTACGCTACTTTACCACGAACCAACACGAACCGTTGCAGGGTACGCTGCTTAACGGGGTGCAGGGTGTCGTGTCACCGCTCTTCCAGCATGAAATAGCGGAGAGTATCGCCTGTCTTTTCTTCCCCTATGGTCAAGGCAACGCTGAGAAGACTGCTGTCATGGAGGGCACCACCACCAGCAACAGTAACAGCGATGGTGGAAGGGGCCCTGGTATTGTGGTGTTCAACAAGTATGTGGAGGGTTTTTACGTCAATACGGTGTTTGCACAGCTTCCACATATCCGTCCTCGCGTGTTTCCCGAAGAACCACCGCTAGCAAGCCGAAAGTTGTTGCCAGCGAATCTGTTGCTTGAGGTTGTGCGCTGCCTCCACCGTGAGCAGTTGCGCCACGCCGAGGAGATAGGTCTGGAAGTTGACGTTGATGATGATGGGTTCAAGGATGACACCGCTGGTGACGATGGCTGTTTGAGTTTTGCGTCATTCCGTGAGGTGCTGCAGCCCACAACTCGAGCGTACATTCGTGACAACATTGGCGATCTCGTGGTGATTCCACTGCTTGTGGCGTGCCACCCGCGGTACTTCCGCGTGCCCACTATCGATGGAGCGCCGTCGTGGTCCACCATCGGGCTCTCACGCGAAGGACGGCTTCTGGCTCGCCAACTGGAGGCAGCAGCATTATTATCGGAAACAACAACAGCAGTAGCACCGCTGCTTTCAGAATTGGATGGGGGCCGTCCTTCTTCGTACCGAAGCCGACGTACCGGCTGCCTCTTCACAAACGATACACAACAGCAGTTAGCGGCATTCTGGATGTTGCGTTGAATGATGTCAGTGCTTGATGCGCAGCGAACGCTGGATGAGTGACGAATTGATGGCAGGACAAATGAAGATATGCATTACTATGTTCTTGATTGCGAAGTTTATTATTGCTATTATTATTATTATTATTATTATTATTATTGTTTCTGTTCTCGCGTGGGTGTGTGTGTGTGTGTTACTTTCCATAGTGGAAGTGCGGCAAGCCGAAGATTGCGTCTGTGAGAACTCTGCTGGCGCGGCAGTTTGAACCGCTACGCACGCCCAAGAGTAAATGAGCGCCACCAGTACCGTCACGATCATCAGCCCGGACGATGGGAGGCGCTACCGCCTTAACGTCAAGGGTAACGTTGGGCGGTTGACGATTGGGCGGCTCAAGCAGTACCTCGCGACGGCCTCATCGTGCCCGATCCCCGCAGCAGAACAAGTCCTGAAGCTCAACGGCACCCCGCTTCACAGCGACGAGGAGGTGTGCGCCGCGTACGGCATCGCTAACGGCACCACGCTAACTGTCGAGCACCACTCTGACGTTAATCCAAAGAACAACAGCATGGCCTCCTTCGTCTCCCCACAACGGCGGGCACTCGAGTACCAAACAATCCGCCAGCAGGAGGCAAGTTTCGGTAACGATGTTGTGGCGTGTGATGATGCCCTGCAGGGGAAGATCGAGCAGCTAAAGGACCAACTTGAGGCGGCGGGAAGGAAGAAGATGGACCTCGCACGGGAGAAGGACAGGACAGAGCGAGAGTTAGAGAGGATCCGCCAGCAAGAAGAGGCAGCAGAGAGGGAGCGGCAGCGCCTGGCTCTGATGCAGCAGCAGGAGGCAGAGCGGGCAGCACGTCGTGCGGCCGACTTGGCCGCACGTCGCGAGCAGCTCAAAGCAGAGGAGGAGGCGACTCGGGCTGTCGCTCTTCAGAAGCTCGAAAACGAGCGACGAAGAGCGTTACTAGAGCAGCAGCGAGCAGAGCACGAAGCAGAGAAGAGGCGTCTTGAGAAGGAGAGGGAGGAATACGAACGTCGTGCTAGGGAGCGTGAGATGCGGATCCGGGAGAAGGAAATAGCCATTGAACAGAAGGTCCTAGCCGCGGAGCACGATCGGAAGGAACTCAAGTTAGACCGACTCGTCTCGCAAAAGAATCGGGCGCTGTACTACGAACGTGTGGGTGCGCTGCCGCCACCAGAGCTCCAGCAGGAGGCGCAGATGGTGGCGTGGAAAGACCTTGGCTCGTCATCATCGCAACCTGCACAACTCAACCGTAGCGACGCTGCACAAGGGCTAGACATTGGCTTGTACACCAACAGCAGTAACAATAACAATGGTTATGGTGGTCGTGTTGGTCTCAACGCAAGTGAAAGCAAGGGGCCGTCGTGTCCACGGCAGCAGCGTCAAGCATACAGGCGCAGCAATGCCCAACATCCACCGGGCTTCCTTGACAGCGACGATAACACCAATGTGAGCAGCTACGCCAATCATCCTGAGCCGAACGAGTCGCTCCCACCAGGGGCCCCTAGCAGCATGATAATGATGGCGTGTAAGGATGGCAGCACACTGGCCCAAGACGAAGGTTTGTATGATGTGCATGAGAACGCCATTGATAACTTGCACTGCATGAGCCAGAGTCTCGGTATGGAGAAACCGCTGGAGTTTGATGCTAACAACACATGTGTCTTCAGTGTTGATGGACAATACACACTGTTGGTGACCTTCGACGCGACAACAGAGAGGCTCTACTTGTACTCAACGATCATGACAACCATTCCAAAGGACCCTGAAGTGCGACTGCGGGTGTACGAGTTTCTGATGGAGGGCGCGCTGCTTGGGCGGGAGATGTGCGGCGGCGGTGCTGGAGCATCGCTCAAGAACGACTTCATCCTCCTCTCAACGAGTATTTACCTCCCAACAAGCCATCCCACAAGTCTGCGTGCTCTCACGCCGCACTTTATGCTTTCACTGAACAAATGGCGAGAAAAGCTGCAGGAGCTGCTCGACACAATAGAGACACGACAGGAAGAGGTGAATCCGGCTGCTGGAAAGAATGGCCGTGTTGCCGCGGGGGACGCAAACGGCTTGAGGGCAAAGCGTACACAACAGCCGAAGGAGCGCAATTCGCTGCGTGGGTCTACAGTCTCCACACGCCACAGCGACACACTCGCTGTAGAGAATGGAGAAAAAAAAAAGAGTGGTGGCCCTGTTATCGGCATAGAGGCGACGGATGTGGTGCTGATCAACGGCGTCCCCTCCAAGTATGACGATGGTGTTTTGGTTGTTGATGTGAGGGGGCCAGCAGCGGTTGCCGGTATACAGCCGCACGATTTGATCAAAAAAGTGAACCACAAGCAAGTGACAAGCCTTGCGCAGTTTCAGCGCGAGGTGTCGCATTTAGTCGCAGGCACCGTAGCTCCTTTCGTCGTCGACCGTAACGGTATGCTGCTTGTGGTCGCCGTGAAGGTGGACTCGGCGTAACTGCACTTTTCACTCCTTACTTGCACATTTTCAAGCCGTTCATCATTGGCCAGTTCATATCACACGATAAGGAAACAAAACAAGAAGAAGAGAAAATAGTTGATGGGGGCAAATAGAGAAAAACAAGTGAATACAAAGGGTCAGTAGTTCACTGTGTACTTTTGGAGAGCGGAACGAGCTTCTTTTTTCCCCTCATTGTTCGCCTCATCCTTCTCCGCCTCTTCACATCTCCCCCACCCCCACACACACCTTCTAATATCACCCTGTACTTGCAAGTTACATCCAAACCACATACAATTCATTTTCACTGCACCCAAGCCGGTTTATTCGTTTGCTGTGGTGGTGCACTGTTGTGAGTGTTAATGTGTAGTGTCTATCTGCCCTTATCTTTATACTCTTATCATCCAGTCGTTTGTTGCGCATTCTGTCTTTTTTTTTTTACCTACACTTGGTGTGGCTTCTCCTTGTTCCATTTTGTTTTCCTTGCTCTGATTAGCTGCCCTTTCATTCCCTAGTAAGGTTCGAGGAAAGGAGGGGCAGAACCTTTTATTGGCCCTCATCTGCACGCCTGTGTCTGTGTGTGCGCGCGCGGTCCCCCGTTCGTCCCCTCGCTGCTCTGGGGGGAGAAGCATTACGGGCGGATTGTGCCTGACAGATGACGGTCCTCGGCTTTGGTGCGGCTCCTGGCGGTCAGGGCACTCGCGCCGCCTCGAGGCGTGATAGCACGCGGTACATCCCTCGTCGAGATCGCTGTGGCACTTCGGTCCGAAAGGATGATAGTGGCGCAGACGTTCCAAATATGCCGGTGGGCACTAGTAGCAGCGGCGGCAGCACAACACTGGAGCGATCGACGGAGAGCTTCCTTGACTCATCCACCTTCACCGTGGCAAGGAGGCGATTTGTGGCACTCGCCGCGCTGCTTGCCATGCAGTCGGGTTCACAGGTGGTGCTGCAGCGGTACGAGGAACTACTCAAAAATCATGTTGTCATCGTCCTATTTTTGAGCATGGTAGTCGGGGCTGGCGGAAATGCGGGCAACCAGGCAGCAGTATCCGTCATCACCGCCCTTCTAGCCACCCGTGAGAACGGTGACGCGGCCCGCTCCTCCGATGATACCATGGAGGAAGAAGCATCGCGGCTGCGCACGCACGCGGAAAGAGAGCGGATTATCACGGCCTTCATGCCGCAGTCCCCACGCACGTTGGTTGGGCGTTCCGTGTGGGTGCGCATTGCAAGCCGCCTCGCGTGGATGGTGAAACTGCCTAGGCTGTTGCTGTTGCTGCTGTGGCGCCGCTGGAGACGCTTGAGAACTGTTGGCGAGCGGACCGTTCGCCCAGCGATCCTCCCCATCGGCGCTGTGCTGTGTTACGAGGCGCTTGTAGGCCTCTGCTGTGGTTTCATCCTGATGGGCATCGGGGCACTTCGGGTGGGGCTCTTCCTCTGGTTCGACGATGACAATGAGGGGGACCCACGACACATGCAGAATAGGCTGGTACAGGCGTCGTGGTCGCCATGGGAGTGGAGCAGTAATGCAGCACTTGTCGTTGCGCTCTCACTCTCACTCTTTCTGATTGTGTTTCTCTCCGTGGTGATTGGCGCAATGCTGCCGTACGCGCTGATCCACTTGAACGTGGACATCGAGCACGCCGCCCCCATCGTACAGGTGTTGATGGACCTCTTGGGGACGTGGCTCTGCTGCGCAACTTGCAGTGCGTTTCTACCATTCTATGAGGGAACAAAGGGCGTGAATGAAGGGAATCGGAGGAGAGCCGCCGGACCTCTCCCCCAGTAAGCGAATGGAAGACGGCAACCGAAATTTGAACGCATTGAATGATCTATGCACGCGCACATATGTGTACATGAAAAATACACGAACTCGGATGTGGCTGTCCAGATGTGCGCTTTTGCATCTAAGAGTGCCGTTTTGGGCATGTTTGTGTGTGTGTGTGTGTGTGTGTGTGTGTACCCCCTGTCCTGCCTCCTTCGGCGGTGAAGAATTGAATGAGGGGTTATGGAAGGCCGGGGGTCCTGGAACCCCTACAACTACGACTGTTGGCCTCTTTGTTTCTTTTTGCTTCTTGTTTTTGCTTCATTCCATTGCGTGGTAAACAACAGACACACTTCACGCTGGGGTGCCAAAAAAGTAAAATCTCAGCGTGTGTTGCTGCAGCCCCTTTTTTTCCCCGTCTGCGTCTCTTTTGTTGTTTGTTTTTTTGTGATTTCACTGCTCCTGCCCTTGCTCTGTTTCCTTTAAACGGGTCTGATCAGAGGAGAGGGTTCGGCCCATACACCAGACAGATATAATTGTGACTGCAGGACTGACAGATACGTCACGGATAATTTAAACAACAACTTGATTTTTTAAAAAAAGAAAGGGGAAAAAAGAATGATGGAGGGCGGCATCATCTTCGATGAGCAGAACACGGAGGGAGGGATGCAGAGCGATGTGACGCACCTGTGCGCTGCGGCCCTGTTAACTGTTACCCTCACCGCTCTCAGCGATAAAGGCGATGAGCTTGATGACGGCGGATCCCTCGGGGCGACTATCGGCACACAGGAGTCGCTGCCCACCTCCTCACGCGAGGCCAGCAGTGGGGTCCATGAAAAGAGAGATGCTTTACTTCTCCCACACCCACGGGCGCAGACTTGCGAGAAGCAGAAGCGACACAATCCCAACGTACCCACGGGTTCAGAAGCGTTGCCGCTATCACAGATGTGGAAAGTGGCGGCAACGGTCCCCAGAGCGGAGGATATGGCCCCTACACTTCTGACCGCGTTTCTCTCGTATACGGATGAGATCTTCGCTGCGGCGCAGGTAGCATTACCAATTTCGCAAGAGGAAGAAGGGGATCGACAGAAGCAGCAGAATCATCTTCCTCTCTGCAACAGGTTGGATTCTGTTAAGCTTCGCCTTTTGCCTTCAGCCAATCCGTCTTGGCATTATATGACGACAGTGCATCAACCACAGAGCAAATCTTCTGTAGCGTTGTCGTGGTTCCTGCAGCATCATCGCGAACTCGCGGCAACAGTAATGTCTATGGGTTTCAGCTTCCTCCTTTGTCTGGAAGAGCATCGTTACTCTTGGAAAAAGGCGCTGGAGGTGCCGTTGACGGCACTGCAGCTACTGGCAAATTATGCCCACACAGTGTCATTTCATGATGATAACGCCTTTGAAGAACTTGGTCCACGTGGGCATCTCTTGGTCATGGCTGCCTGTCTGCTGACGTGTTGGAAATTCTCGGACATTGATGCCAGTGCCACAGCACTTGTTGCCCTCCTTGAAAAATCCTTCTTTCGTCACCACCGGGTTCTGAACACGAGGGATATCCTTCATTTGGAAGCCGAGGTGCTCAGAGTCTGTGGGTTTCGTGTGGAGGCCCCGCGTTGGTGGTCAGTTGCCATTGAACTCCTCGCGACCGCCTACAGCGAAGAGAAAGATGAGGCTCTGGACGGCGCGGAGAATATAGGTGCGTGGTGGCCGTATGTGTCCCATGACGACAGTGACCTCCAATGTCGGTACGAGGCGAAGATGGAGCAATTGCTGTTGACGAGTGAGCACATTCTTGTGTTCTTGATGAATGTCGTGGCAGAGAATGAGGAGGGCGTTCACAACCGCCACGGCTGCGCAACGGACGACACCAGTCGGCACTGCGAGCTGCGCGGCGTGCTTCGCGGTTGGATTGAGTCGTCGCCACTCTTCGGCGTGGCGCTAGCCGTCGCCAGTGGGGCAGTGGGGCTCGAGTGGGCGGCATCTTGCGTCGGCCCAACCGCCGGTTTGTGCTACAACAGCGTTCAAGACGGTATCAGTGCCGCTGATGAGGCAGCGCAGCATGATGTGTATGGAATGGTGGCGGTGCTGAAAGAGGTGCTGCAGCTTTAGCCGCTAGATGGGGAGCCTGGGCCGAGTTGAGCAGCAGCTCGTTGATCCCATACAAGTACTCACTTGCTTTCTGTTGTTGTTGTTGCTCATAAAAAAAAAAATCACAACGGCAATTCGAAAAGACAGGCGAGGTCGGAAAAAAGGAACAATCGGGCAAAATCGGATAAATGACGGTTCTTGTGGTTCATGGCTCACTCTGAATCACAACTATGCACTCTCTCACTTTGAGTGTCCCTCACGGCTTTACTCTGTTTCTTTGAGTGCCTATTGCCTTTACTCTCTCACTTTTTCTCATTTTTTTTTTCTGTGTGTATCAGGTATTTAACGTGAATATTGAACACCTTCTTCAACAAGCACCGCCCTTTACTGTGCCCTCCTACTTGGTGATGGATGAGCGCTTATTTTTGTATTCCTTTTGTTGTCTGTGTGTTTCTGTGTCCGTGTATGTGTATGTGCGTGGGGGTACTACGTATTGCCTTTTTTTTATCTTGTTTCTTCTTTTTTGCATTGGGAGGTCCCTTGCAGGCTTCGTGTTGCGTCTTCTCGCCGCCACCGTCGTGAGAATGGGCGACGGTGAAGCGGCACCCGACGAGCGAGAAATTGGCCGGGAAGTTCGCTCACGCCTCGCGATTTTTTTTCTCGTTTTTTCGACTGTTGTCTCTTCTTTATATATATTTATATATATATATATATATATCTACATATTGCTTTTCCTCACTAGTTCTGCGCAAAGTGATGCTTTTCTTGGGTCCGCTCTTGTTTTGATTTCTTTGTTTGTCTGCCCACATCCCTCCGCGTTTGGCGCAACTCTTTTTGCTTCTCTGGTTCTTCCATGTCTATTCCCCGCTCGGTGGCCCCTATTGGCGGCACCGCACTTGCTGCATGCGTCTCTCGCTTCTCTATTCCTTCCCCGCCGCGGCGGCGGCAAGTGGGTGCACAAGCATGCACGTGATGGAATTTTGCTTTTCGATGCTGAAGTCATGAACCAACGTGTGTGTTGATGTTGCTTCTGCTGCTGCTGTGCTCCCTCTTTTCACATGAAGAAGCCGGTGAATACGATGAGGGGGCGCAGCAACCGGTTGGGGAGGGAAGGCAACTGTCGGCCTTACACACACACAGAGAGAGAGAGAGAGAGACCTTGCAAATTCGCCAGCGAGGAATTTTAAGTTGGTGGTGAAATACTTCCTTTGATCTTGGTTCATTGGTTTGCTGTTGGTAGTGGTACTTCTTTTTTTTCTTCTGTGTTGGGGTATTTCCGTTTCTTTCGATGTGCGTTGAATTCGCACACGCGAAGGGACTATATGCGCATATCTATTTATCTACCTATCAACCTACCAATATATAAATATATATATATATATGTGTGTGTGTGTGTCTTTTTCTCTTCAATGAGGTGCCTTTTGTTTTTGTTTCTTCCCTCTGAGGAAATTATTGAGGGTGTGTATGCGTGTGGTTGGGGAGAAGGTGAGGGAATGAGAGGCGGAGAGCTGAATAAGTATTCTTTTTAACAAAATGGCGAAAGACGGGATCCAGATAAAGGAAAAAAAACGAAAGAAGTATGCAAACCCTTTCAAAAATTCATAACCCTGTGCCACTACTGTGTGTGTGTGTGTGTTTGTTTGTTCCCCCTCACCCGATCGGCCACGGGGATGCAGGGCAGCGGTAGTGCCTGCAGCTCTTGTTGCTGGCTACCAGCGGCGTGCGGGGGGAGCGGGGACGGGTATGAGAAGCAAAAGGCGGCCGTGTGTGTGTTTGTTGGTTTGCCGCCGCTGTGTACGTGTGACATTTGCACACGTACATAAATCGGCCTGTATATGGGCAATTAAGGATTTGTTTGGTTGCTTCTCGAGTTGCACTCACCACCCAATTGGCTACTTCCTATTATATGTATATCTTTATACCTGCTTGGTACTGAGTTGCCAGACAAACACGCGGAAAGATAAACAAATGGGAAAGCCAGGACCAAGGAGCAAAGGATTCATGTGTTTATATATAAATAAATATATTTACACAACTACGCGTCCACAAATATCAAGGTTCCCGACCCCGGGGCTACAAAGCATCACACGTTTCCAATCTATTGTCACATTTTCGAGGTAATTTCATTATCTCCTCTATTTTTGTTGTTCCTGTTGTTGTTTTGACCTCTGCGTGACTGCCGTTTAACCTCGCAAGCACACGAACTTCTCCGTATCGGGTGGCATCTGAGGCGGGTAAACGGTACAACGTGCAGTTGGTCAAAGAACGAATTAATTAAAATGCGCCTCTGCGTGTCGTGTGTTCCATGCCTTTTTCATTAACAATTTTCTTCATGAAATGATTCACCCCTGCCTGCTTCTGTCGTGGTTGCTTTGTTTCACTACACCCTTATGAAGAGATGTGTGTTTCTTAATGTCCTTCTTTTTCTCCCCTTCTCGCGTCGGCCTCTTCGCTGTTTCTGCTTCTGCGTGGCAGCACACATTCAGACAGATACACCTGCACTTACACTCATGGCGCTGACGACGCGCATCGTCAAGGAGACAGAGAAGCTGCAGCGCGAGCACCCTGAAGGCATCGAAGCTGCGCCGTCACCCACCAACCCGCGTTACTTCCACGTGAAGATCCGTGGGCCGCCACAAAGCAGCTACGAGGGCGGCGTCTTTAAACTTGAGCTCTTCCTCCCCGAGGAGTACCCGATGGTGCCGCCCAAGGTGCGCTTCCTTACGCGCATCTACCACCCTAACGTTGACAAGGTGGGGCGCATCTGCCTTGACATCATCAAGGACAAGTGGTCTCCGGCGCTGCAGATCATCAAGGTGCTGCTGAGCATACAGCTGCTCATGGCGAGCCCGAATCCCGACGACCCGCTCGACAACGAGGTAGCTGAGTGCTGGAAGCGAGACGAGGCAGGTGCTATGAAAACCGCGAGAGAATGGACGCAGCGGTACGCATCGCCGTGAATGTGTGTATGAGAGGGAGAGAGATGGGAGAGAAGGAGCGTCGCGTGAGTGTGTGTGAGAAATGAGAGAAAGTGAATGAGAAATATATAGGGCGCCGTGAGGAATGAACTGAAGAGTAACACAAGGTATGAGAAATGTGGGGCGACTTGGTGGGATGAGTATTCGATATGCAGANGCGTGAGGAATGAACTGAAGAGTAACACAAGGTATGAGAAATGTGGGGCGACTTGGTGGGATGAGTATTCGATATGCAGAAGCAGGTGGCACTACGCGAGAGGGAAACGAGCAACAGCAGTGACATGTTTACAAGAAAATGGCGCCTGCATCACTCCTGTTCTTGCTTCTCGCTGACAATGTCTTAGAGGCAAGTCATTTATTCAGTATGCGAGGCTAATTGAACAGCACGAACAACAACACTATCTGCTACTATTTCTGCTGTAGTTGTTATTACTATGTGCGATGATCCGAGTGCGGCAAAACGGGAATCCATTTGTAGGTGTTCAATCACGGTCCTTTTCTTCTTCCCTTTGTGTCTTTCTCTCTCTATTGTTTCGGTGCGACTCTCTGTAGATTTCGCTGTACTAAGAGCGTTTTAATCGAAACTCAGCAAACCAATAATAAGAAAGTAAAGCGAAGCAAATGGCCCGCTCGCGTCGTGCGTCTCCCTCGCGCCCCCACAGCACCTCAGCGCCACCTCCTGCCCATCACACGCCTCCTGCCCAGCAGCAACACGCACACCAGCAACACAGTCACCAGGCATCCGCCGCACAACAAACGCCGCAGGTGACGAACGTGTACATGCAGCGTGGCGGCGGCGGCGGCACGGGTATGCCCGGCACGATGGCCTCNCGCCGCAGGTGACGAACGTGTACATGCAGCGTGGCGGCGGCGGCGGCACGGGTATGCTCGGCACGATGGCCTCCGTCGCTGCCGGGTCCGTCATTGGCCACGGTATTTCACACATGATGTTTAACCGCGATGAGCCGCCTGCGCAGCCCGCGCAGGCGCAGGAGGTGGCACGGCAGGTCGGTGAAGGCGCTTGCGCTCCGCAGATCAAGTCGTACGCCAAGTGCCTCGAGGCAAATGAGGGCAAACCTGAAAACTGCAAGTGGGCCTGGGACTATTTCATGCAGTGCCAGGAGCAACAGCCGCAGCAAGAGTAAGGCTGAAGGGGCGCGCGGGTGATGAAAAGAGCGGGGGGGGAAAGCGAGAAAGAGAGAGTCATATACTGAAGACTGGGCGTTTCTACTCTCCACGTCAAGACACCCGCCGTTGTTCTTGTGTTGTTGTTTTTTTTTTTGGTTGCATATATTTATATTTATATCTACTTGTCATCCTTATTTCTCTAACTGTCGGAAAAAGGGTGAAAAGAGCGGAGAAAAAAAAACAAAAATGGACAAGGAGGGAGTATTACAATGTGAAAGTGAAGGTGGGGGTAGGAAAGATTGGGAAGGTGTCACTACTTTTCTTCGTAGATGCGCTACCCTATTGACTCACGGTATGCCTGTTCTCTGCCACGCCTGTCATCGGGCTGCACTTTCATCCTCTGGTGTTGTCTCCTTCCCTGCTTTCACTTTGGGAAAGGTGCTTTATGTTTGGCAATTCTACCCACGCAAGTTGTTTTTTGCGGCAACTGGCCACATCGTATGGTGCGGTGCCGCAATATACCAATGTGTCCGTTTTTTTGTTAAGTCTTCAACACTGTACCTGCTGTTTCTTTTCTTTGTGCTTCTTACCTTTTTTTTGTCTCAGTCGGGCTGTGTCTGCTTGTGGAGAACACAAAAGGGACCCCAGACGTGGCGATTGCGGTGTGGCCCGCTCAAGGTGAAGGAGGCGCCGCGGAATGGCGGCGGTCACGCGAGCGGAAGGCTCTGGCTCGCGGCAGAGGAATGCATGGGGGGTGTTGGTTGCGCAGAACATGCCGACGGAGGAGAATGGGCTACAGCCGTTTTTCTTACTTCAACGTCAGCTGCAGCAGGACGAGCAGAATAAAATAAACGAATTGAAACGTTATGGAGAGGGAATGCATCCTGTGATTTTGTTGTGGAAAGAGCGTGTGACTTTTGGACGTCGCGCCGGGAATGACGTTGTGATAAATGGCAATCCATGCCTCAGTGGGACACATTGCGGCCTCTCCATTCAAATACTGTCTGCAGTTTCTTCACCACCCACCGTGACCTTCACGGACTACAGCACGAATGGCTGCCAGGTAAACAACATGCGGGTCGGCAAGGGAGCTTCTGTTGACCTCCGCAGCGGGGACACCATTCATTTGGTAAATGCAGGCCCAAACAAGCATACACGGCACAACCTCTGTTTTGTTTTTTATACCATGGAGGACTACAAGCATCACCGTCAGCAGAAACGGTTATATGCCGTTGAAACCATGCGAGGCCCCACACCGTCAATAGGTGCGAAGCGTGAGAGGAGCGCCAGCCCGCGACGGGACGACCGAAAGGAAACAACGGATAATGGCGCGCCACATGCAGACTCACACCTCTGGGCCTGGGCCCTGGCGCGTCGCATGTATCGACACAGCGTGGAAGAATTCTACATACTACAAAAGTCAAAGCCACTAGGCGAGGGAGCTTTCTCGGTCGTGTATCCCGCGGCTCTTCGGCCCACCCCCGAGGTCGTAATTCGAGCTGATTGTGCTCCAGGGGTGATTTTAAAATCGCCCCAGCTGCAAGATGAGGAAGCTGCACTTCGGTTTTTGGAGCTGCAGCCGTGTAAAAGTGTGGTGAAAGCAACAGAACTGGCATTGGAAAATGCAGCACGACGGCGGCATCGCAAAGTTGAGACCATGCCCGATGGGTCAGAGGGCATAGTTTACAACTTCGCAGTGAAGGTCATAGAGAAGAAGCGCATGTTGTTCCCTGCAGAAGCTAGGCAGCGCTACCGCCACCGTACCGGCGATGATTGCCTCTTGCAACCATCGACTACTGTTGGGAAAAATGGGGGAAAACGCAGTGAGTATGTTATAGAGGTGGATTCGTGTGATTCAGAGCAGCAGGCGCTGCAGCAGTTAGTGGCTCTGGAGACACAGACGCAAGAACGGGAACATGGGCGCGCGCAGGAGCTTCTTCTGGAGTGCCCAGCCAATAGAACCATAGACGCCCTGGGCGAATTCCCCGCCGTCGAGTCAGAGCTTAAAGAGCAGCTTCTAAAAGAAGACCGCGTGCAGCATCGCGAACAATTACTGTCCCAGCTCGGACCGGCGACGCGTTTGCGGTATGAAAAGGAGCTCAGGCAAAAAATGCGTCACAAATGTGAGATTGACATACTCCTTGCTGTTGATCATCCCGCCATTACAAAGCTGCACGAGGTGTTCGACGGGGAGAGGCGTCTGGAGCTAGTCATGGAACAGGCTACCGGTGGTGAGGTGCTGAATCTCCTGCACGGCAATGGGCCATTGCCGGAATTTGTCGTTAAGGTGATTGTGTATCAGGTACTTGAGGCGGTTCTGTATCTGCACCGCACCGGCATCACACATCGTGACCTGAAGCTGGAGAACCTGTTGCTGCAGCAGCCTTTTGAGCTTGGATCCTTCTGTGAGCTGCAGCAGGCACTGCTGTTGCAGAAGCTAATGCAATTTCTGAGGGCGTTCGAAGAGGACTCATCGCCCAAGGATCTGCAGGAAGAAGAAACAAACATAGCCCGTGTGCCGAACCCGTTTTCGGTTCTCCACACCGTTCATGTGGGACGGTCCTTGTGGCCGAAAGTGCAAATATCGGACTTTGGATTGAGCCGCATGCTGGAGGGCAAGGTCAATGACGACAATGGCAATGGCTACGACAATCTTCTTTACACCCGAAACGATATGGTTACAATGTGTGGAACACCAATATACGTTGCCCCAGAGGTTGTCATCCCGTCGTTGCGCCCCAACAAAGTGGGATACAGCGCAGCCGTTGACATGTTCTCCGTTGGGGTTGTCGCTTTTGCACTGCTCACTGGGCGGGCGCCATTTCCGCCCGCCCGTGCCGCAGAAATAAGCCCCAAGCACGGTCGCCTTGATTATGACGCGCCGCTCCATTGGGAGCGGTCAAAAAAACACAAAAAAATCGATATGACTTTATTACACTCTACCGCACCCGTGCAGCTGCCTCCGCTTCTGCTGCAAGACGCCGCAACAGTACATCTCACCCCGTCGGCGCCTTATGAGCATCAAAACCAACAGCTGCGGCACATGAAGAGCGTCTGTCCATCACTTCCCCAAGCCGAGTGGTTAAACACAATACGCAAAGCCGCCGAAGCACTCCAAGAAGCGCCACCGATCAACATTCTCCACGAGAACGTTGTACTGCCACAAAATTCATCTTACGCTCAATTTCTCCCATCTGTGTCAGCGCTCGGTCGTGAACTCATTACCTCACTACTAGACAGCCACGCGCAGCGCCGTCCAACAGCCGCCGAAGCCATTCTACACCCATGGTTCTTTGACTGTACACAATAAACACGCCGCACACAAAAAACTAAGCGACGCGAAATACGAAAGAACAGACCTCTGCCACCACCCAAACAAAGAAAGGGAAACTAAGTTCCACCTGTATCCCTCTGTAACATCCTACAGTAAATCTCGGCAAAAAAAACCGTTGTACGTAAAAAAAAACACATTCAAACAATATCCCGCTCCACGCCCACTCTTTTCACAAAAAACAAACAACGACTAAAAGTGATCAAGAGCAACCAGCCACCGCCAAGCGCAAAGAAATCAACATGGCCCTTGCCCGCATCAGCCATATCGTGTTTGCCCTTGCTGTCTGTGCCCTGCTGTGCCTTCAGCTTGTGGCTGCACAGGGTCCCGTGGAAACGGACAGCAACGGCCTTCCTATCCGCGATGCTGCCAGTGCTGCTGTGCAGCCGTGGGTGGCGGTGGGCGCCGCCTTCCTTGCGTGCGCTGCGGCGCTGCTTTAAAGCGTGCCTTCTGCCATGCTGGGCGCGAATGTGTGTTCCGTCTCGCGCGAGGTTTTTGTAGTTTTGTGAATATTATTTTGTTCCAGTATTTGTGCCAAGAAAAGCCGTTGACGGATGTGATTGCGCGCGGCGGAAATATGTGAGTAAAGTCTTTTCTTTCCCTTCTCCGAGGGGTTTTGGCCTCGGCGTTGCAGACGCAACAACGAAAAAAACACCTGCCCCGTATGGTATTTTCCATTTTCCGATATCATTTAGCATTGTTGCAGAAGCAACGACAAAAATTACCTGCTCCGTATGGTGTTTTTCATTTTCCGTTGTTTTGAGAACGGCGTGCCCTCCGGTGTACGACTGATGTGTCGCCCCGACGCCGGCCAAGGCCGAGTGCACACATGGTGTGTTGTGTGGTGCGGCTCCCGCTTTCGCCATACCCCCTCGCTTCGCTTCTTCCCTGTCTTTGCCTCCTGCGCTCTTCCTGCACTCTGCAAACACACAGACCAACATTAATCAAGAGCAACCAGCCACCGCCAAGCGCAAAGAAATCAACATGGCCCTTGCCCGCATCAGCCATATCGTGTTTGCCCTCGCTGTCTGTGCCCTGCTGTGCCTCCAGATTGTGGCTGCACAGGGCACCATGGAAACGGACAGCAACGGCCTTCCACTTCCCCCAGATGCTGCCGGTGCTGCTGTGCAGCCGTGGGTGGCGGTGGGCGCCGCCTTCCTTGCGTGCGCTGCGGCGCTGCTTTAAAGCGTGCCTTCTGCCATGCTGGGCGCGAATGTGTGTTCCGTCTCGCGCGAGGTTTTTGTAGTTTTGTGAATATTTTTTTCTGTTGAATACATGTACGAAAAAAGCCGTTGGCAGGCGTCACTGCGCGCGCGCGGCAGAAGTATGTAAGGACCCCTCCGTTCCTCCTCCATGGGTGTTGGCCTCGGTACTGGAAGGCGAAAAAAAAATACCCGAAACACATGGCATTNTGCCTTCTGCCATGCTGGGCGCGAATGTGTGTTCCGTCTCGCGCGAGGTTTTTGTAGTTTTGTGAATATTTTTTTCTGTTGAATACATGTACGAAAAAAGCCGTTGGCAGGCGTCACTGCGCGCGCGCGGCAGAAGTATGTAAGGACCCCTCCGTTCCTCCTCCATGGGTGTTGGCCTCGGTACTGGAAGGCGAAAAAAAAATACCCGAAACACATGGCATTGTTCTATATTTCTGGAAGGGGCGTGCCCTCCGGTGTACGACTGATGTGTCGCCCTGACGCCGGCCAAGGCCGAGTGCACACATGGTGTGTTGTGTGGTGCGGCTCCCGCTTTCGCCATACCCCCTCGCTTCGCTTCTTCCCTGTCTTTGCCTCCTGCGCTCTTCCTGCACTCTGCAAACACACAGACCAACAGTAATCAAGAGCAACCAGCCACCGCCAAGCGCAAAGAAATCAACATGGCCCTTGCCCGCATCAGCCATATCGTGTTTGCCCTCGCTGTCTGTGCCCTGCTGTGCCTCCAGGTTGTGGCTGCACAGGGCACCATGGAAACGGACAGCAACGGCCTTCCACTTCCCCCAGATGCTGCCGGTGCTGCTGTGCAGCCTTGGTTGTTCGAGGTTTTCATGTTATCCGTGCCTGTTTTATTGTTATGTGTTGTTTCGTTGAGGGGTGAAGACTGGCAGTATTTGATGCGAAGGTGTCTTTGGGTGGTTGCGGGTGAGGGTGTGTTTTTCTTTATCTTTTGTCTGCATTGTACCCGTATATTTTAGTTTTTTTTTCTGTTCGGTTGGCCCTTATGGTTAGTTGTTTGATAAACAGCGTCTTTTTTTTTTTAAATGTTTAGCGGTAACGAAATGGTGCTGATAGCTGTTTTTTCCGTTTTCCGCGATTCCGATTGAAGGCCCCGGTTCTTTGCGGTGTGTATGTTAGTTGGCGGTCTGACCTCTCGCAATTGGTTGTTTATTTTTTTTTTTTTTTGGAAGTCGGAGATGCCTATTTTTCTTGTACCGGTTCCCCTTGCAAAGCATTGTTAATGCATTTGTTTTCTGCGCGTTATGCCATCCGAGAGTTTAATTTCCTTCCTGATATCCTGCGAGGGCTTCTCGTTTGTAACGGAAGATGTGAAGATGTTCCTTCCGATAATAATTAAGGGTTGACCTTGTCATTTGTAGGACAATTCCGTTTACCCGGAATATGGCAAACTTTGCTTCTTCCCACGCGCGGTGCGTCGCGAACAATTCCACAGAACCTCTTAACAACACATCCTTTGTGCGCGTGGAGGGCGCCGGTTTGCCGATGCAACCGGATTTTCAAAGCGACCGGGAGGTCGAATGCGCCGGTTTTCTGAGCGGGTGCAGGGGCTGCGCTTTTGGCGGATTTTGGCGGGCGGCCGGCCGGGCTTTCATCGCGCAAGGGCCCCGCCGATTAAGCCGAGGAAAACGCCGGCACACAATCGTTTATTCAAAAAAAAAAA